AGGGGCTGGAGCCCTGAGTCCGGCCCTACATCCCTTTCCGCCCACCCCCCTGCCACTCCTTGGCCAGCTCTGCTCTACTCCCCACCACCACTTCAGGTCCAGCCCCGCTGCTTCCCCTCCCCCCTCACTTTGGGTCTGACCCTGCTCCTCCCTCCCTCACTCCCCCACCGCTTCAGGTCTGCCTGGCTTGTGGCCACCTGTCTCCCTGCCCACCCCCCCCTTCCCTGCCCGCCGCCTCCTCCTCCCTGCCAACTGTTCTGGGGGGTGCTGCCACTGTGATCCTCACCCTTCACCCTTAGGCAGGGAGGCAGGAGGGAAGCCCTGTTGCTCGGGCATGTTCTCCACTGCCAAACTTCCTGGCAGTGGGGCAAACTTGGGCCTGCCGAGCCCAGTCCACCAAGCCAATCACCTCCTGTCCTCTCAGCAGCGCAGGCACAGTTGACCAGAAGCGTTATGGACAGACAAACATACAGACAGACACAGAGACAGGCAGACTAATCCTTTTATTATATTAGAATTGTTTGTGACCTAGCCTCACAATTAACAAAGATATCATGTGAGTAATAAAAGACACAAAACAGGAAAATTTTGAACTTAAATACTTGAAAATTGTGTGTGAATTAATTTTCACTCATATCCAAATGGTTGTAGTGAGTAACAGGAATTTTAATTAAAGATACTATATATTTACTGTAAAGATTCAACAAAGTAGCTTGCATCGGTAAATACACAGTAGTAGTAGGATTAGAGATTACTCTAGCACAAACATAAAAAATTAAATACTGCCCTCCAGCTAAAGTGGGATTCTCCTTTTTCACTTTGCAGCTCGAAGTCCAGTATTTTCCCACCTGTCATCCTCTCTCCAGGGACTTTGGACTATTAGGGCTTTGAAGGCAGAGCAAAGGTTTCAAAAATTATTTGATGCTCACCAAGATCTTCACTCAGGTTTGTAATGAATCAACATGAACAACCAAGTTCTTAGCTCTGTAGGAGGGATATATCTTCTGCCCCCAGATGCACATATTCCACTTACATTTAATTTGGTAGGAAGTGTGCATGTCTCTCTCTAGGGCAAAATCTCCCTATTATTATTTTCCCTGGTTTGATAATTCATTTTAGGCTGTATTACAATTTGAGATACCCAAGCTTGTATCTTTAATCATCTATAAAATAAACATTTTAAACTATGCCTGATAAGGATATTTAGGGAATCCTTTTTCTTTCACTATATACCATTTTGGGGAGAAAAACAATTTTCACTTTATAATATTTATTTTATAAAGCATATCTAATAATAATTATGTGCTTTTAAACAGTTTCAAATCAGTAAATAAGTTTTTTAATTCTTTGAACAGTTTTCATAGTTCCTTGCCATATAAATACTGATTTGATTACAGTTATTAATTTGATTAAAGTCATCTTGGCTATAATATTAATACTTTGTAAAAAAAAAAAAATCTGAATTAGATTTATATCATGACCTTTAGCAATGAAATTAACCAAACTAAGTAACAGGAAAGGTTACTGACCTTTTAGTAAATTATTCAAGTTCCTGTAAATATCTCTTGTAGGAATTTGAATAATTTACAGGTGAATAAGGAAGAAGAATTAATATCTTATGATTGTTAGATAAGATGTTCAACTTTTATCTGCCTTAAGGTATGTAACTATACCCTAAAACACTTTACCTATCATTTTTTAATTAATAAAATCTAAGACCCACATTTACTGTTCGATCACCTAGCCTGAGCTGTCAAAAGACATGGAATCTCAGCCTGCTCCCAACCCCTGGTGAAATTGTGTCTTGATTTGAGGACCTCAGCCCACTGCTTTCCTTACTCCCATGTTCCAGGAAAATAGTGTCAGCATCAAAGCAGCTTTTCAAATTTCTGTGCAGATATTTCATGTTTACTGTGGCAGCTGTGGGTGGTAGACCCAATAAAGATTCCAGCTCCTCTAAAGCCCCATATTGTAGTTCATTTTCCTCCCCAGTGGATCTGACTCCTTATGGTCTTTCAGCTGTTTCTGTCCTAGAGCCAGCTGTAGACCGACCAGTCAGAATCTGCAAGGCTGCTAGTCTAAGAATCAGTCTGCGTAAGCAAAACAAGTAATCAGGGAGCATATTCTAGTGTACCTAAGAACAAGCATAACAGTGAGACTGTGCATAAAAACTCCACTGTGTAAACAATGATTGGATTAGCCCTTGTGTCATGGCTTCACACTGAGACCTCATGTTCAGTTGCATATCCTTTGACTCCTGAGTTCTTTTAAGAGTCATCACATTCCTGAGTATGGTCTCCTTATCTGCATGTATATCATTAATGCGTTGGATTGTATTAAATTGCATTTTGTTTGAATAATCCCAGTTTACCACATGATACCCTACTGTGAAATTTTAATTTTTACATCTATAACCTCTGTTCCTGGAAGAAGGAATAGATGCACCTTATAGACTAACTAAATCAGAGATACATAAACTTCATCAGAGCTCACTTCATCAGATGCTGTTGTAACTGGCCCTGTGTTCAAGTGCTTCAGTTTCTATCAGTATTTTTATACTGTTTTTTTTCTTCAGCCTTATACTAAATTACATATATTGTGTTATAAATGTTCAACTAAGTTGACGTTTATTATGACACATTTTATCTGAAAATTAAGTGAAAGAAAAGCTGTAGTATATTTCATTACATAGCTCTCCCCTCACCTGAAGTCTTCTAAAGTCCATGAGAATATTTTTCCATTGACATTAGTGGATTTTGGTCCTTTTCTTTCTGTACTCATTACTATTAAATAAGTTAACTTCAGCTGTGTTGAGCAGTACAAAGATTAGTATCTGAAGACTGGTCAGCCTTCTCTAGCAAAGCAAAGCAAAGCAAAGCAAAGCAAAGCATGTTTCCCCCCCCCTCCCAGGCCCCCCCCGTCTCCAAGAAAGTGATTTGCTGAATTTTGTGGGATTTGCCATGGAACTTATATCTTCTGTAACTCGTTGTTCTTTATGACTTTTACAACACTCTTTAGAGGCTTGGTTTCTATTTTTAACAACCTCACGATGGTTTGCTGTGCGTTTGGATGCCATCTGTGCCATCTTTGTTATAGTGGTTGCCTTCGGTTCCCTGCTTCTTGCAAAGAGTAAGTATACATGTTAGAAATGTTTACACTGTAATTAATATTTATAGCAATGTCTAACTCATTTTCAAAGATTGCTTCTTCTCCTAGTTTAAGGATTGCAGTTGAGTTTTTCTTTCTAGATCCTGATCAGAGGGTTGGACTGCGTCTCTTTAAAAAATGAATAAATCCTGAAGATGATTCAGACTTCTTCAGATGATTCAGACTTATCACTTATTATCTTCTTCCAAAAGGAAAATGATATCTTGTCTACATTATTTAAATCTAGCTGCAGGTTGAAAGATGCAGCTCAAGTGACTTGGATCAGTGAGAGATGCCTATCCCAGAAGGGAAATTGCCCTGTAATAATTTATGTGTTCATTGTCATTCTCATACAGTCATTATTTTATACAGTCATTATTTTATTCATCATCCTACATGTAATTGAGGTAGATATATTAACTTCAAAACTGGATGATTACTAAAAAAAGGAAGCAATTAACTTGGACATGAATATTAGTGTTAATTTCCTATTTTCTTTCCTTTGGTTTTCCTTTAGATACATTTTATATACATAATCCATATTACACATTAGAAAATTAGGAAATCTTGTCCTTGGTAGACACATTCTTGGCTGGGATGATATAGATGTGAACAGTCTTGTTTGGGCAGAGGGTTGGACTAGATCAGTGGTTCTCAGCCTTTTTCGTACCAGTACCCATTTGCCAAGATAGATGGCTTGTCCTGACCCACACCCCTCTGACCCTGTTGGTAACTGACCCACAGTCCCCTGGCCTCCCAGGCCATGCTGGACCCCTCACTCCCAACCTGCAGCCTCCTGCCCCCTCAGCCCTGCTGAAGGGGGCCTCCAGCTGCCCCCGTCCCACTTGGGCCACAACATGATGGCTGCAGTGGCTCTGGCTCATGCAGGTGGCAGCAGAGTGAGTAGGCCTGGCATGGGCTGGAAGGAGGAGGGGAAGGGGAGGCCTGTGGCACCCCTGCCCTGGGCTGGCATGCACCATGCCAGGCAGCCTGGTCACAGCCCCTCCCACCTTCCAAGCAGCGTCTCCCAGCTGCCCTGCCCCTATGAACACAAGCACCAGTCCTAATGTCGCCAGTCTAGCCATGCAGCTCTCCCCTGCCCCTTCCCCCATTGAAGGGGCAGGTGCCTTCCCCCTGCCTTCCTGCCCTGCTGCAGCCTTGGTGCCCGGCCATCTTCCCCCAGTGTTAGCAGGCACCCACCCCCCGCCACACACCCATCCCCTCCCCACACACACACATGCATGCACTCACGTACATACCACTCCCTCCAGCCCCCAACAGTCCCCAAGCCCTGGCCCTCCATCCCCCACTCAGTGTGCACTTATCTGCATCTGGCTGCTGGGGCTGCTCCCACAACCCTTCTTGGCTGTGTGATGATCATGCCCCAAGCAGCCCCTTGGAGGCTGGAATGCTGCCAGCCTGAAAAGGGAAACCTGAACTTTTGCAATTTTTTCTGGTACTTACTAATGACCCTTTGAAATATTCTTGCAACCCACTTTTGGGTCGCGACCCATGGGTTGATTAGCACTAGTCTAGATGATGCCCTGAGGTCCCTTCCAAACCTCATTTTCTACAATTCTCTGATTCTATATTAGATAGTATATTGTAATGATATGTTTTATATATTATATAGTATATTGAATGCATTATATAAATATATATATAGGCTATATTATTTGTATAATGAAATTATGTACATTGTATCACAGTGAAGGTTTCCTGCTAGAATTGAAGTTACTAGATTGGAATAAAGAGCACTCAAAACCATGGCCTGAGTCTCCTCTCAGCTCAGGATAAGGAGAAAAGGGCGTCTTTACACATGCTCCGGGGTAGGGGACACTTTAATTAGAGTGGCTCTAAAAACCACCCTGGCCCCCTAGCTTTCCACCCCCACATCCCTCCAATGTGGCCAAACTACTCCGGATCCCATAAATTACTCTTGGCACTGTTTGACCAGTATTCACTGGTCCCGGGAACCAGATTGAAGTAAGTCATGGTGGGCAGATTGTGGGGCTAGCAGCTCCATGGAGAGTTTGACAGAATGTGGGGGTCAGTTTCCCCCTCCCCTAGAACTAGGGGCTATTTTTAGATGAACAACCCCTCTGTCTACCCCAACTTACTTCAGACCAGAGGCCTGAGTAGTGAATGAAGACTATTTTCTCTAACAGATTTTTGAAAATTTAAGAAAATATTTGTCATGGTATTTTTATTTGGCACTTTTGTTTATACAGGTATAAAACTGAGGTGAAAGAAAGCAGTCTGTCCCTACCACTTCAATCATACATTAGTTTCAGAGAGGAGCTTACTGGAGTTTTGTGTTGTGCTATAAATTCTTTTCTGTGTTATTCTATAAATTCTTCTTTGTGTTTTGTTTTTAATTTATGCTCCAGCTCTGGATGCAGGACAAGTTGGTTTGGCATTGTCCTATGCAATCACTCTCATGGGAATGTTCCAGTGGGGTGTTAGACAAAGTGCTGAAGTTGAAAATCTGGTAACATTTATTTCATTTTAGTCTTTTCAAATCTCTTTGCTGTTAAGTGACATAATATACATTAGAAATGTTATTTTTGCATTGGGGCTAATGGAATTTTTAGGACCCTGTCACTTATGCCTAACAGCTTATGCCTGTTAATTTGTTTAGAGTTGATGAATATTTAAAAAGTATTATTTTTTTTATTGAATTCACTACTTTGCTATATAAAATAAGTCGATTTTCAGCATTTCCCAAATATATGTAGTAGAACATCCTAAAACAATTTATGCTATATATGAGGAAAATATATGCTGGATAGTAAGCTTTTAAAATTAACGTGGAAGCAAACAAATACTATAAAGAGAACACATTGCATCAGAAAAATTGACTTTTTCATTTGTAGTGACAATTGAAATTTACTTGTAATTATGATGATTTGTTGCAACATAGTGCAGTATATACACCTAGTATATTAGATAAAAAGTAACACATCCTTATGTAGCAATAAATAATGCTAATAATAGTCTTGTGTTATATTTATACTGTATAGCACATTTGCATTTTCAAAGCACTTTCCAAACATCAGTTAATAACACTGATAACACTTACCTGAGGAGTGAGGAGAGACTGCCAAATATTTTTGTGTGAATTAGTGGAATTCACTGATTATGAGTTTGAAGAGCAAATCAAATCGGGTGCTAAAAATACATATACACTTAAATATTATGCTGGATTGGAACCTATGTTAGGAGGAAAAGGCAAACCCTTCCACTTTTTTATTTCTATTTCATAAATACAGGACATGGCCAAGATCTCTCCTTTGCAGAATCTGTGATTGAAAGAGAAGTTCTATGATCATTTTGCATGCAATGTTATAATCAAAATATTTTTCAAGATTATAAATAAACAGGGGTCTGTCGCTTTTATGACTTTCTAGATGATATCAGTAGAAAGAGTAATGGAATACACCGATCTTGAAAAAGAAGCTTCTTGGGAGTCCAGTAGGCGCCCACCACCTGAATGGCCAGCTCAAGGGATGATTGCATTTGAAAATGTTAACTTCACTTACAGCTTAGATGGACCTTTGGTGTTAAGGCACTTTTCTGCCTTAATCAGATCAAAAGAGAAGGTATGCATTTGCTGCTTGCTTCAACTGGACCCAACATGTTGTTTAATATTAAGTGATATAGAATACGATATTGTGAGTAAATAAGCCATAGTCTTAAAAGTGTAGTTATGTTAGTAATAACAAAGAAAGAAACACTTTAGGGGGAATACAAGTAGCTTTCTGGGGTTAATAACCTACCTTGTAGTTTGAGAAACTAAGCAGTTGAGAGGGTTGAAAAGTGCCATTTCACTGAGCATAAATGTTTCATTGGAAACTCCTTGGATGTGACCAACTTTCAGAGAATCCAAGGCAAATAGGGCCAGAGTTGTTGAGGAAGAGGGGTAAAGATGCAAAGAAATGGCATGCTGGTGGTGCTTTTGTGCTGCTGGTAGTTGGCCCTGGGGAATGCCCCTGCACATGCGATCTGGCATCTGCCAAGTTGCCCTGGGTGCAGTAGGGGAGTCTAGGGCCAGCACCTGGACTGGACCCAGCAGCCTTACCTGGAGTCCTGGGCACCTCCTGGGGCTCCAGCAACAGTGATCCAGGTATGTGGAGCATGGTTGGTAGCCGGAGTATGGCTCTAGCTGGCTAGGCTCTGGTTTCAGGCAATGCGCTCTGTTGCCACTTGCACCACCTTACTTTTTTCTGGAGCAGGTTTTTTTGACACCGGGATCTCCCAATGTCAAAATAATCCACTGCGCTGCAAATTAGCAGTGGTAAACACCTGCATAAGTAGTGCATGCAGTTTGCAGTGCTGCAGATGGGTCTGCAGTGCCACAAACCACACGTGTGTGCTTGTGGGAACGTGCCTAGAGTGTGAGAGGTAATCCATTTTCATAGATGGATAAGGATAATTAAGAGGAAGATGCATGCATGTACATGATGAAGAGAAGTAGATATTTTATGATTGAGGATTTTATTTCAATTCCTTTCACCTACCATGATTAAATTGGTAGTTGACAGAAATGTAGAAACAAAATCTTCCTTGTCCAAATTAATCTCCCTCTTTCTTATTCTGAGACTACCCCAACTTAAAAAGTATCATTACAGAGGGAGGTCTCCATTATAGAAAAAAAATGAAATTACAGGAACTCAGTGTCAGTTCAGGCTTTGCTACATTTCAAATGTACACACACTTTTTTTAAGATTCCTTACTTGGGAGCCTTGTCCTACTCTGCCCATCACTGCCCTGCCCTATTTGAAACTCATCTTCCATTCAGCCTCAAACCATTCCATGAATGCCTCATGCCCCCAGAAGCTGGAGGGTTATGGCGAGCTCCCACAGGTGGCAGCGGTGCTGTCGGTGGCAGGAGTGTGATGGCACTAAGTAGAGAACTGCTGCAGGCAGCCTCAGCGCTGTTGGCGGTGGAAGGAGGGGAGCGAGCGCTGACCAGCGGTTGATAACCACCTGCAGATGTTGCCGCGGCCAGTGGCGATCACGGACCGCCTGCAGATGCCACTGGCAGTGTCGGTGGTGCCTTTTCACAGGGGGTGCACTGCCATGCTCAGGGGCTGCACCTGCACCTGCACCTGCGTGCACCGCCTACACGTCGCCAATGACCCATTCCATTCCTCAAGCAAACCATTTTAGTAATATGTATGTTACAAGAATTTGGAATTTCAGTGCTACACAGAAGCAATCTGATGGTAATAAGTAGTTAGGAACTCAGGGCAGGATGTTTGCAAAGTGTAGTAAAAAGGATTATTTTTCTTTCCTGTGCTTTTCTCACCTTTTGGCTAGCTTTGTAGAAGTTATAAGCTACCTAGTATAATGGTGATAAGAAGATGTACATTTTTTAGTAGGAGGTTGGTGAGACCAGAGTAAGAAACAGAAATAAAATAAAAGAGCAGATGAAAAAGAAAAGAACAGATGCTAACAATGTGTAGCTAAATACTTGTTGTGTTTTTTTGATCTATGTGACTCCTGTGGGTTTGCCTTTCTAAAATAATTTTGCCCAGTTTGAACCAGCTGCTACCTCTGGAGAGAGATTTGGTGTTTTTTTCCTTCCTTTTTGAAACTATTGTTTTTGGTAATGTTTTGTGAAGTATTACAGCAAGTTGCAGCTGCTAAAAAATAATAGGCTCCCAAGCAACTACTGTACCTTTCCTAGTTTTTAATGATGGAGAAACATATTTCATTGTCCTTTAACACCCTGTCTAGACTACAGGTTCACCTGTACTAGGAGTGTCACACTGGTATACTGTACTGGAAAAGTGCTCTTAGTGTCAAGGCAGCTATACCAGCACATCTGTCTCTAGTAAACATCAACAGTGTAACAAGCTTTAGTGATACAAAAAGCTTTCTCATTTGGGGCTACTTCTCACATGATTAGCGATGTCAGATGGTCTGTGACCAGCATAGCTATTCCAGCAGACACCTGTAGTGTGGACTGAAGGAAGAACTTGTTCAATTTTTTTTTAAATGAGTATTCCAGTGCTGCCCAATCCCTAGTATAGACAGGAATGTAGGCAATAAAAGTGGTATTTAAAAGCTAAGGTAGTTGCTAAATGGTATTCAAAACCATGTTAGTATATGCTGGCTACAACAACAATTTTAGGTTGGCTAATAATTTGACAAACAGTAAAATGATTAGCCCACTTAGTACCACATAGGAAAAGCAAATTGAATGAGATATTTAGTGAACATAAGCATCCAAAGAAAATAATTCATAAAAGAAAATTTTGTCTTCTAAGAGCTGTTTCAAATTCATGTTGATTTTTTAGCAGCTTGTCGGCATTTTGACCGAAAATACAAATAGATTTAACAACTCAAACACAGTCCTTTCATTTGATGCCAGCCTGAAAGAGGGATTTTAACAATTTTCAGAGCAGCTGCACTTTTATTTTAAGTATCACTTTATTTGTTTAATGTTTTTCTTTATGCTGCTAATACAATATGGTGTATCATTGACATTTCAGAGGAAACAAATGAATTTTTGTTCTTATAACGCTTTTGTGTGTGTGTTTTTTCCCTTCTGCTTTTTCTTTTTGATTTATACTTTGAAAGGAAAAGGAGATCGAGTATAATTGTTTGGGCACAATTTCCCTTTTTTCTTTTTTTCAGTGATCTAAATTCCAACATATAATATATGCATATATTGGTGTGTGTGTGTGTGTGTGCACACACACACACACACACACACTTAGATTAATTGTTTAATAAAGTTATTGAATTAGAATCGTTAAACTGGATAATATGAAAGGAATTTTTTACTTTTATCTCCCGTGTCACTCCTTACATTTTATTTCATAGTGCATTGTATGGTTTTGTTTAAACAGAGGTTTATTCCAGTTTCTGGAGAGCCCATTCATTTAATCTTTCATGGAGTTTTTTTATTTCCTGGTGTTTGTTGTTAAGTTTCCCTTTCTTTACTTTCATTCCAGTACTCCTTGTTATTCTCTAAATTTGCATATCATATTAGTATATACTATATGATTGCCCTCCCATGTTTGTACTCTTAATATACTCATAAATTATTGTCATATTCCCTTCTAATCATTTAGGGAAGCTGTATTGTACATATTTAACCCTGTTATTTCCTTGTAAATCAGTATCTCCATCCCATATTAATTTTTGTTGCTCTTCTTTGAACTCCCTCTAGCTTACCAGTAGCTTTCTGAAAATGTGGTCCCTAGAACTGAATGTAATATATAACAGATGCTGCCAGATCAGATCTGTTATAGCAAGTTATGCCCTCCTGTACTCTGTGATATAGTTTATTGGAATATGCTCAGGTTTCCTAAGTAATCCCTTACATATTTCTTGCTGAAGACAGATTTTTTTTTTTTTAAGAAGTTTCCTTTCTGGGTCCTATTTAGTCACCATTACTTGTCATCCCTTTTCATTCCTATTAATGGACCTACTTTCTCTCCAGCATTTTACCATTTCATGTATTGGTAAAAGTCTTCTTAATTGTATGACTTTAGGCATTTCCATATGTTGTATTTTTCTTGTCTTTTGTTTTCTCTGAAATTCTTTACTGAGTGACTATATTTGTCTGGTAGCTTCTTCATTCTTTTCATTTCCTGTAGAGACTTGGCATAATTTGAGTTTTATTTTTTATAATTTATAATTTTATAATTTTTATAATTTCAATGTCTAAAATCAATGGCCATTTTAAGCATTTGTATCAATTTTTAAATGTTTCAGGGTTATGCAAAATTTGGGGTGTGGAAACGGACTCTGTGTCTCTCGCTCTCTCTATCTCTCTCTCTCTCTCCCCCATGAGGGAAGTTGCCAGTGACTTGCTCTGTCTGCTTGCTCTTACCCAAGTTTGCAAGGGAGGACCTGGCTGGCTAGCACCCTACAGGCACCGAGCTAGGGAGGCATTGGCAGGGGTGGGGACAGACACAGGCAGGCAGGCAGAGCCCAGCCTTCCCCCCTGCCTCTTACTGTTGCTCAGCAAGAGCTTGCCCAGGCACTACAGCAGCTGCCTATTCTTATGTCCCCTTTCTATAAATGTTGATGATTAACAATAGGAATAGTTTTTCATCGGTCTGTGATTGTGAGATGAAATCAATATTTACTGATAAAAATCAAATCCTGCCAAGCCTAAGTATATGGTACAAAATGCGCTGCTTTTACCAACCTTAATTCCTCATTTGCTGTAACTAACCATGAGCACTGACAACATCTGTATTTCAATACCAGTTGTGATCCTTTTGTTAGCTTTAATCTTATTAGGGATACTCACTGATTAACCTGATATTTGACTTGAGAAAGGTTACCAGATGATGGCTTAGCTAGCTTGATTGCTGTTAGGTAATGGTTATTTAATAGTAAAGCGGTTAATAAGCTGACCTCCAAGTGCTTTACAGAGGTCAGTACCATTCTCCTCTTTTTGCTAATGGAATAATGAAGCACAGAAAGCTGAAGTGACTTGCACATGGTCACTCAGTAGGAAAATAGAGAAGCTTAGAATAGGACCTGTATCGCACAAGTTGCAGGCTAGCATTCTCCCTGCCAGGCTACATTGCTTCCTATGTATTCCACAGCACATATTAAGGGAAACCTTCAGGTTTTTTGTCAAATGTTTTCTTATTTCACCTTTGATTTAATTTAGATTATTTTGAGGCTTAAAATGGCATGTGATCGTAGGCTGAGGTTCTTTTAGAGCTAGATCCTATTCAGCCTCTTAGGTGTTTAAGTGCAACCCATTCCACCCTTCTCCAGTGCCTGAGAAACCATTAACACAAAAGCAGAGGAAGTCCTACTCCTCCTCACCACTTTTGTGATTCAAGGCTAAGATAATGGCGTGTCACAAAAGTAGATGTTTCTAGTTTTTCAGGGACTCGGGCAGAATGGAATAAGATTACACATAGGTGGAACAGGAGTGTGTACTTTAACAAAAATATGTCATGTTGTCTTGCGTATCAGTTGATTCAAGATTTCATTTTTCCATATGGAAGAGCACTACAAATACAGCCTCAGAAGCTGCTGGATTTAGTCATATTGGTTTGGTTGGTTTTACAGGTTGGAATAGTGGGAAGAACAGGAGCTGGAAAGAGCTCTTTGATAGCAGCCCTCTTTCGGCTGGCTGAACCTGAAGGAAGAATTTGGATTGATAAGTACCTGACAACAGAACTGGGACTCCATGACTTGCGGAAGAAAATTTCAATTATACCTCAGGTATGAAGTGGATTTTTGTCTGCTCCACATGTTTGTGCTTTAGGAATCTAATCTTGTAGAACCTCAATTATGCAACCTTTATCAGGGAAGGAGCTGGACCAAGAGTGGTTCCCTGGTACCTTCCACCCTACTGCTTTGCTGGGCTAACTAGAAACTAGTACAGCCGAGAATGTGTTTACAGAGATTCCTTTAGTATTCTTGTTGGCTTTTTTTCAAAGAAAAAAAGAAAATTCAGAAAACCCTAAAGGTTTCTCTCCTTACATACATACATATATATACAAAGTCTTGAGGTTTGTGTATGTGATGATTTTTAGTTTTCCAGGTATTTGTACTCAACTCTGAAAGAAAATGGGGCATTTTAAAAATCAATATTCAGTCACCTAAATAAAATTAATATTTGAAAAGTTTGGTTATTTTCCTAGTGAAATACTTACATAGCATCTGTGTGCAAGCATAAAAAATAGTATATGCATTATCAACGGCCTTAAAATAAGGCCTCACCTCCATTTTTCAGAAACATCTGGAAACATTTATATTAATTTAAACTACCTTAACCTTCACTCCAGAACTGATAACATACCTCCCAGCTAAAAACAAAGTCTGAAAGAAAGGTTGTATCCTAAATATTATCTTCTGCTTTAGTGGACTTAATAAAGGGATGACAATTCAAAACTGGACACATTTTTGGAAAAAGGTCTTGCTCCTTCCCTGTCCTTATGAGACCAGCCTTTGTGGCAGGTGGATAGAACAATTAACCTATGGTATTGCAGGTAGCTTTTCTTTTGAACATCTTCTGTAAAAGAGGTATAAAAGGGAAAATGGAAAGGTGAATGATGGACTACATCAGCAAAACCAGAACTGTGTCTTTGCTAAAGTTGACAAAGGAGGAGCAAGCCCAGGCAGTGACCTATTAGGAATAGCAGCCTGTTTCTTCAGGAGCATCTGAAGGCTCCAGAAGTCCAGGACAACCATTAGATAGCCAAGCCATTAGATACCAGCCCTTCACCTGCCAAGATGGGACTGGGTGGTAGCTTCTGTGGCTCACCTTTGAGAAAGGATCAGTGGTATTTAATGGAAGGAGTATTAGGCTATCTGTTTTTTTAACAGAAGAGGCACAAGTCACATATTATTTATGGATGAAGCTGTTGAGAGTTACAGAAGCATCCATATTACCATCCTAGATCTGGTTGTAAAAGTACCTGCAATAGTTCTGGAAGGAGACTTTATTCTTCAGGGGAGTGGGCATTTACCATATTTTATCGCTTACAGCATACACTCACTCCTCTACACCCCCCGCCCCCCCCCCACCAAAAAGAACCCAAAACCCAACCGCAGCAGCTGGAAACTGGGGTTCTCATAATGAGTTCAGGAAATATAGTAACAGAAGTTTCTGCCACTTAAGCTTCTGCTGGGCAAAAACTATAGTATATAACTAGGGCAAAAACGATATTATATATTATGTATAAAAATACAACTAGATAAAAATAATCAATAGATGTTTCTTTAGTGCTGGGCACATCTACACATGCATTTACTCCAGCCTAGATTTACTGCACAGTGCAGTAAGCTACTGTGCAATAAGCTATTTTGTTTAAGTGTCTACATGTGCAGGGACCTGGCAGAAAATGTGCTGCCAGGTCCCTCCAACCCTGCTACACGCTCCTGTGGCCACTGGGGTGAGCTCCACGCTCCAGCTCCAGCTGTCACCAGCCTAGCAATCTTCTTTAAGACCCAGCCCTGCTCTCTGCTGTCTGGGCAGCTAGTTCCTGTGCTCAGAGGAGCACCATGGCATGCTCAGGGGCAGCACGCAGCAGGTGTGTTCATGTCCACTGTACCTCCTTGCACTATGGCTGCCCCAGACCCTGGCCCTGGCAACCAGGAACAGGGTCCCAGCATCCTGCTGGCTGTCTTGGTCACCCTGCTGCCCTGCTGTGCTGATCATCACCATGGCTACCCCACACGCAGCGACTGCCTACCTGACTGCAGCGCGCCCTCCCAGGGCCCCCACCATTGTGCACTTCCTGCCACCAGGGACACAGACAAGGGGCTTCATGAGGCCACTATTGCCTTCCTGGGCCTCCAGCCCTGCCAACTCTGGGCCCACTACCTCAGCCACCACTGGTGGCAGCCCTTGATGCAGAAGAACTGGGACAATGAGCAGTGGGTGGATGCCTTCCATATAATCCAGGCTGCCTTCAGGGACCTACTCCACCAGCTCTGGCCCCACCTGCAGTGCCAGGATACTGGCATGTGCCTGGCCCAGGCTGCCAACACCCACCTCACCCTGGTGCTGCTCAAGCTGGCCACATTGGCCAGCTTCCAGTATGTGGGCCACCTGTTTGGTGTGGACACAGCCATTGCCACGGATGCCATCCTGGATGTGTGCAGTGCCCTCAAAATATGCTGGCAGACACCATCCTCTGTGTCCATGACCCCCAGGCAGTGGTGGCAGGCTTCCATGCACTGGGGTTCCCTCAGTGTATCAGGGTCCTGGACAGGATCCACATACTGGCTACTTGCCTGCCTCTTGGAGGCTGCCTCTATTAGAGCCACAGGGGATTCTACTCTGTAGTCCTGCAGGCTGTTGTAGACCACCAGGGGACATTCATGTACATGAGTGCCAGCTGGATGGGTAGTGTGCACAATACCCATATTTTCAGGAACTCCAGCCTGGCCGCACAGGTAGAGAGTGGGTGTTTTGTGCCGGGGGTGGTGGACCTGCAGCTGGGCACTGTTGTCGTCGTCTCACCCCTGCTCATCAGGGATCCTGCGTGCTCACTCCTGCTCTGGCTGATGAGGCCCTGCACCAGGCATCTGGACCCCTGCCAGGCCCACTTTAACCTGTGCCAGACCTGCACCCTGGTCAAGTGAGCCTTCAGCTGCCTCAAGGGCCTCCAGTGCTCTCTCAGTGCCCACTTCAAAGTCACTGAGGAGAAACTTCCCTGAGTCACTGTTGCAGCTTGTGCGCTGCATAATATCTGCAAGGCCTGGGAAAAGTTGTTCCACAAGGCCTGGTTTAAGAGGTCTGGCATATGGAGGTGGCCTGGCAGTGAGAGCACCAGCTGTGGCAGCAGCAGTGGGTCCCCCCTGCTGAGACCCTAGGAGAGCCACATACCTGCCAGAAAGGGCCAGAGCACCAGGTGTGGGAGGCTCTGGTGGACCACTCTCTGGAGCACTCCCCTCTCTAGCCCACCTGCCTCACCGCCCACAGACCCCTAATCCTTATCCACCCCCAGCACCACTCTTATGCCAGGCACAGATCCAAAACAGAAATCTTTATTGCCCTCACAGTACACAACCCCCATCACTCTTGCCTCCCTTTCCAACAAACAGCCCCTTCACCACCCACCAACAATAAAAAACACTCTTCCTGGTTTGAAAACTGTACAGAGTCTGTGTTTTTGTGTCCCAGGCTAGGGGGCTGTGGGGTGGGGGCACCTAGGGAGCACAGCCTGGAGGCAGGTGGCTAGCACCCTGGCCTTGGGCTGTTCCCCTGTGGGTGCACACACTGTGGCACTTGCAGCAGATGGAGGGTTCACCCAGGGGTGATGGCAGTCTGTGTTCCTCCAGGGTGGGCAGCTCCCCCTCCGGCTGTCAGAGTCCAGGCCCAGCCCTGCCAATGTCAAGTCCTCATGCTGCTGCAGGTTACTTCGGCTCTATGCCTGTATGGAGCCGGGGTGAATGGTAGTCTAGGCCTAGGCAGGTGGTGATGAACCTGGGGAAGGAGCCAGGCTAGGGGCTTCTGTGGGCAGGAGGTGGTGGAGAACCTCCCTGGTCCAGGTGGGGGCTTGCTGTGGGGCAGCAGGCAGCAGTGGGCATGCATGAGACAGTCAGGCCCAGGATGGTGTCCAGGGTCTGGTGGTCATTGTTTAAGACCCCCATGGCCAAGGTCAGGATGTCATTTTGGCCCTGCAGGATTTGGAGGCGCTCCTGGTCCAGGGCTAGGAGCTCATCCCGGTGCTCTCGGTCTGCCCAGTCCTGCACGTTCTCCCAGGTGATGTCCTTCTGGTGCCACCTCTCTTTATGGCCCAGGTATTTCTCCCACCACCTCTCCTCCCAGGCCAGGTCCTCCTGCTGCCAGGCCCAGGTGTCATCTGGCCTCTTCTCTGCCACCACCATCAGCCACTGGAGGAGGAGGGTCCAGTCCTGCATGTACCTTTGGTGCAGCCACCACATCCAGAGGGCTCCAGTACTGGATGGCAGTGTCCCTGAGCTCCCATTGCCTCTGGGCCATGGCCTCTCCCCTATGTTCAAATGCAGGCCCTGCTGAGCCAAACAACAAAAGCTTTTTGTCAGAGTTTGCAATATTTCAGAGATAAGCTCTGCACCAAGTGCTGTGCACTGCCCATCCTCAGATCAGGGGCTGGCTATACACTTGTGCCCAGGAACCACAGTAAGTTGGGCCAGGTAGGCCCAGGCCCAGGTGGCTGGCAGCTGAGCCCCCACATCCCCATGTACTCCCCTGAGCCTGGTGGCCCATTGGCTGCTTGCCCTAGGCCATCCCCAGGGCAGGACAGGCCAGGCTTGTGACAGCACTTGCTGCCATGGCTCCAGACCTTGCTTACTGCCTCTCCCCCTGCAGGCCACCCACCTTACTATGCTGCCACCCAGCCCGCAGCACCCAGGCTTGGGGCCCACAGGGCTCTCAGACAACTGGGACAAGGAGCTGGCTATGCCCCTGGCCTCCCCGCAGGGGTCTTCTCCAAGGAAGCACCCCAACGTTGACCCCCCCACACCTCTACTGCACCCAAGTGTGACTCTGCTGTATGTGCCCCAGTTGGTGTGCAGTGAGCTGTTTGTGCAGCCTGAGGAGTGCCCGACCCACTATGCTCTGCTGCTCCTGATCCTCATGGTGCCCCGGGTGAACCTGTGCACCTGGTATAGGACCGTGAGCAACAATGGTGCAGGGGGCAAGCCCAGGCTGCCTTGCAACCTATGCTGCTGCCCAGAGGACTACCTGTGGCAATGCTACATGTCCCTGCCCTCAGCTGCTAAGGAGG